ACTCATCCACGACTCTGTTACCACCAAACCAGTGCTTTCCTATATCCTTCCTGAATCTGAATTTTTCCGTCTTGAAACCATTACTGGGGAGTTTCCTGTCTTTGGGTGGAAATTTTCAGCACACTATTTACATCCCATTTTTAAATTCCTGTTTTCCATTTATACAGTAGGGCCCCACTTATGATGTTTCACTTACAACATTCCGCTAATACGGTCATTTCAAATTATGACCTAAACTCTATATGGCTCCCCCCGCCTGACTTTCTAATATTGTCACTGCACCCCACCCTGTTTTTTTTACTTCTCCATGAGCCCGCAAGCACCACGTCTCTTCATTGTGTCTGGAAACTCCAAAATTTCAAGTGTTTTAATTATACTTTGTATATCTGAAACCCAAATAAACTTACGCACTGTGCTGGCATGCAGGTACACATTAAAATCATAAAGTGTCTTGTGTCTCGAGATGCCATATTAGTAATGATAATAATACTCAATAATAAAAGTTGAGTCTCATAAGTGTCCCTATATTACGTTAATATAGACATTTTCATTAATCCATGTATGATATTTTTTCAAAATTATATAATAAACATGATACATAACATATAAAGATGATAATACACTCCACAGTAGAAAAAATAAATTAAATATAGAATAGAAAATACAGTAGGGCCCCACTTATACAGCAGGTTAGGTTCCAGCTTTCGCTGGAAGTAGAACACCATTTTTTCCACATATAAATGCCCGATAACAAGTTTACACTAATATATACAGTGGTACCCCCGAGTTTCGAACTGCCCCAACTCGACCAGTTATGTAAGTGTATTATTGTAAGTGCTTTTGTAAACGATTTTGGTGGGCTGAAACGGTCTAATCTAATTTGCATTATTCTATATGGGAACAAATTCGTTCGGTAACGGGACTTGAACACCTTCTGGAACGAAGAAAGTTAGAAACTCGGGGTACCACTGTAGTATTAATTAAACTAGAACTAGGCATTAAAAAAAACAAATAAAAGTAAAGAACACTTGCAGTACATTAATTATTTACCTCAAAATACTTGTAGTCTTAATGTATAATAAAAGGTGAGTAGTATTTATTGTACGAAGTCAGGTGTGGTAAAGGGATGTGGCCCCCCCGGCCACTCCTCCCACACATAATATTTCGTGACGTTTAAAGTGCCCTAGAGTGATAAAATGTGTATACAGTACACTCAATTACTACCTTAAAATATTGTAGTCTTAAAGGTAATGGGGGAAAGGTGAAAAA